TGCTGTTGCTGTCCGCTCCTGAAGTCTACCACGATTTCCTTGGTCTTCATCAGATAGGATAAGGCTGTTAGCCTTGCACTACTGGACCAGTTGGCTCAACTCAGTTCTATAGTTTGTTTCATCGCTGTTACTTATGAAGCCCATTACAGTTGTATCTTCAACAAACTGCATGATGGGATTGGTGCTGTTTGGAGCACAGTCGTGGATCAGGAGCATTTTTTTAAGAACGTTTATGAACTTGAAATCAAAATATAACGATACCGAGTGCATGAAAAGTAGTTTGCACACTATAGGAGCATTTCAGCATTGTGACTCATTCCCATTTTGTAATGGTTTAACTCTTATTTTTATTTAGTTTTTATTCTTGATGTTATTCTTGGTTTTATTTTCAAATGCTCTTTTTAATTGTTCTCATCCTTGTTTTGATTAATCTTGTCACTTTTAACATTCTTGTTTTTATAAAAATTTAATAAACCAACAGCCTGCAATATGCCACTCGGAAGTGATTAAAAACTCAACTGTTTTAAGACAATATTCAAAGTTCTTGTTTCTTCTTCAATAAAAACAATAAAAACACAACATATAACCTTTTTGTTGTGACTTTATTTGAGTCTAACTGATCAACTTCTTACAGTGAACATTGACAAAATAAAGTATTTATAAGTACCGGTGCAAGAATGGATCAGATTTGATGTAAATAAATGAATTTGTCGCTGCAGCACACACTCAGGGGGTTTTGCCAACTGAGCTCACAGATGATTGTCAGCCGGTGACCCCTCCTCTCTATTTTCCTCTGTCTCCTTAGCTCAGCATTGACTGCAGTGTTGTCAGTCCCACTGGGAGTTCCTCCCACGTGCGTGTGCGCATGCACACACACACAAACACACTGTCAACACAACCTGGAAGTGTTGTAGATTAATAAAACCCACCACCAACACTGGCACATGCAAATATCTACACAACCCACTAGATGCAGCCCCTCTTTTCATTTGCTAACCCATCAGTACTGAACATCTCACACACACACAAACACACACAATTCATGACCTAACATTATCATTCCGATGTGTTTAGATAAACGTCAGTCTAGATAAATGCTGCTTAGTTTCTTCACTCGTGTAAATTGTTTATTTTTCCTGCATTCTTCTTCAGTTTTCTGTGTTTCCTGTTTCCTGATAATCTTCACACATAACAAACACTGTGTGCAATATGTCATGTGCAAATAACTGCCAACAGTGTTCTCCTGCTCCAAAACGCACTCTTTATTCACAGCAGGTCGTGGTGGAAGAAGCTGGGATGCTCTCCAGCAAATACTGTATGCACAAAAACCGAGTTTCTATTTTCAGTTTGGGAGATAACTTGCTGTAAAAGCAGAGCGGACTCTCCCTGTGTGGAGAACAAATGTGGTTAATTTACGAAAGAAACTCAAAGTCTGCAGAATCCTCTTTTTTTAACATGTAATTTGGAGATCGTGTGCGCAGAACAGTCCAAAATGCACACAGGCAAGGTCACGCTGGCTGGGCACCCTTCCCACTGATGAGCTCATTACCGCATGTCAGTGGTCAATCTGTTCGTGCCCAGAAAAGATTCAACGCTCACTGAGACAGAGCCTTTCTGAGCACATGAGCAGAACTGGGGGGGGGGGGGGGGGGGGGAG